AATGATGGGAGATTGGCATCATTTCCTAGCAGAGAGAAAGTACGTAAACACACTTATCTACTCAAACACAAGGGATGTTCCTACTTTGACGAAGTAACTGGTTTTGAGTCCTTAAAACACGTAAACACTTAAAGTTCATTTGTACTGACATTGTTCTGATAGTTCTTTGCACAATATTCCCATTCTCTGCTTCTTTTTGTTATTAAAAAAAAAAAAAAAAAATGGGATTTGAAATTAACTAAGATTTTCTTTTTCAGAAGTTTGGGATTTTTTTCTGGAAGGCCAGAAAGTGGATGCTACCAAAATGTTAAATAAGAAAACTATTTAAATTTTCATATACTTTATTATACTTATAAAAACAATATTAAAGCTGACGGATTATTCTCCCTGTTATTCTCTATGTAATTATTTAATTTCCTTATGCGTTTTACAAGATCGTGAGGTTGTAGGCTACATTTTTTTTTTTTTGTGGTTGTTGGCGTAAATACTACTTAACTGAAAAGCTCGCTTACTCTTTTGGGTTAATGCAAAACAGAATTCTACTGAACTTCTCGCACTCAACACCTAATGCTTCTGTAAAACCTATTGTTCCCTTTCATCCGAGGGGCAGAGTGGATCCGTTTGGCATGATGCAGGGAGTGTTGCTCATTGTTGCCTCCGTTTGTGGTGCACGAACCGTATTCTCAGCAGCTGAGTGCGGAGCATTTCACTCAGGGACAAAAAAGAACAAAAAAGGATAACAAAACATGATACATCCTTTACAAATATAAATATTTTGTACCTGATTTTTGTAAGTATGTTTGATAAGCATAGAAGAAAAGCTTCTTCCCAATTTCTTTGAGACAGTTGCGAAATCGACCCCATTTGGTTTAGGAAACATAGCTATTATACATAGTAATGTGAGATAGCTGAACAACACACACAATCAAGTCTCGCTTCAAAAGTGAATGAGTAGAGAGGCTGAAGATATAATTTTTTTTCTATTTTTTTTCAAAAGGACAGACCTCACCGTGTGTATGTGTAAGTCACATATATGTATCTGTGTAGACACTCCATGTACACACTCTGCGTGGCCATGCAAAGTGCTGTACGTGTCAATAGGCCATCCACAAAATCTCAATGTTTATGCTCTGGAAGACAAAGAGAGGCATTGCACTGCACATACATCCTTGCAGAGGACACCGATGGACAAGCCCCAACACACTGTCTCTCCTTATTGCCAGTTGTTGAAGAAGCCCCTCCCTGGGCCGAAGAAGCCGCGTCGACGGATGGTCCTGTGGTTGAATGGCGGGGCCGGCTGGTTCCCGAAATTGATGTTGGCCGGAAGGGGCTGGCTGAAGGAGGCGCCGACGGGCTGGGTGTTGACGAAGGGTTGAGAACCGGCGGGACTGATTGGCTGGCCGCCGCCGTTGGAGGTGCCCGGGGTGCGGGTTCGGGAGCCGATGTCGAAGCCAGCGGATCTGGAAGGGCCGAGTCGGAGGAGCCGGAGGGGGAGTCTGGCGGGGCAGGGAGGGAGAGTGGCTGAGTGGAGGGTAGTGGAGCCACGGAGTGAGTAGGAGCGACGTCACTCCACATCAGGGAGAGTTGACCTTGAGTTTTTTTCCTTTCTCTCCAAACACTGAAGCTGATTTAGACAAGAGACCGTGTCTAAATATTCTAATTTCCCTCGTTGCAAATTCACATTGAAATTTACGTCGTATGACATGAAATAGAATACTTATATGAATATAATATTATATGAATATAATAGAATGAAATAGAAATATAATGAAATAGAAATGGAATACTGCTACAACCTTTGCGCGGAATGAACAGAGACTCACAGATTGGTTAGGAATAATGCTTTCATTAGAGTGTCTCTTAAGATATGAGAATGTATGTGCAGTAGATAGTAATTTCTGTTCTCTTTACGGTTAGTTGAAACGTTCTCTTAATCTGAATAATATTGGTAATGACGATGATATTCGGAACGAGTAAATGTAATGAAGATGGTCTAAAATCAATCCATTTTATGATGATAATAGTGGTAATAATGATGATTATGCTCATATTCTCATACTGGGATTGATATATTCATAAAGATAATACTAACGACAACTACAAGAGTAACACTACTACTAACTACTGCAACTACTACAACTTTACGTCAAAAGAAATATGTCATTAGTGTGTTAAGTATAAGTATCTGAGAAGGTTATGTAGTTCTTCATTAAGATTCTCTAAACTACTATATATTTACACTGCACAAAAGCAGAATAAAAAGCCTTGTGTTTGCTTCCAAGTCCAGTACAAAGTCAGAATTAACCAGCCAATTTACTTTTTACTATTTGTCTGTTTATTTAAATAAATAATTCATTACTTGTGTCTGGAGGTGTAAACAAAATATACGATTTCTGAAAAAACTAGTTAATAAAAAATCATTCTGACAACCAAACCACCTTAATTATCTACTGTGCTTGCCTGACAACTACTAACGGTCAGTGGAACAAAGGCAGTCGGTCTGTTAGTGTCACATACCTACTTCCGAAGAGCGACGGGTATGTCGAACCCGATGCTCCTGTGAAAAAAAAATGTCGACTATGTCATTTTTTTTATGTATTATGTTGGGAATAAGAGAAAAAGGGTTGAGGAGTGTCTCTCGTTCTCTCATAGCAATCAGTTGCTGTATTGTGTTCCTTGTAAAAAGAAGAAATATAAAAATGTGAAAGTGAGTTCGTGTGTTTTGATGGGAAAGGCTAGATCAGTAGTAACTCAAGGTGTCATGGTCGATCATTTTGGTGTTTTCAATTTTCAAAAAGATTGGAAAATAATGATTATCATAATCACCTACTCTCCTCATCCACAGGGCTATTTTGATGATTGTTCAAGGAAAATACAACCACTAAAATAATTATTTTCCATCCTTTTTGAAGACTGAAAAGACCCAAATGATCGACCATATTTCACAAAGCATCTGGGACTTTTGTGACGTCATCAAAATAAACAGACGCCATGACACACCTCCTCGAGTTGCTACTGATCTAGCCTTTCCCGTGTTTTGATCATGGTCTTTGGTCGTATCTTAGAGAGCGCAGGGGCGTACCTTTTTCCGAGAGGGCGCTGGCTCTAATTTACCGTCAAAATGAGAGAGTGCAGGCTTATATTATTCAATATTTTGATCCCGATTTTGGTGACATTCACAATTTATCTTAAAATGAGTAAGTTTCCCCCCTTATTTTTCGAATAAGAGGAGACAGTTGCTAACAAAGTGTTCGTTGTACACCACTGCCCCTTGGTAAGGCCCTAAACAAGTCTGCAATTGGCTCTATATACTGTATCATCACAGTCTCGCGGATTATTATACTAAATCATTTCTTATTAACCTTTCCCTTCCCTATCCATCACCACAATGTCTCTTTCCCTTTTCTTTTTCACCTTCTATGTCTCCTTTCTCCTTATCCCTTCCTCCCTTTCTCTTTCCACTAATCCCGTGGTCCCTATTTTTCTCTAACTTGACTTTTTCTACTTCTGTCTCTTCTTCGTAAGTATCTAAACATCTCATTTTCCACCTATTTATTCCTCTACCTATTCTGCATTCTTGATTATCGCCATTTTTTTTTTTTTTTTTGCTCCTTCGTTTCCTATATTTTTGTTATATCTCTTTAATTATCGTCTCTCTCTCATCTCCTTAGCTCCCTCTATCTCTGCTCAAATTCCCTCATATCCTCCATCTCTATATCTTGATTATCGCCTCTCTCTCCTCTCTTCAGGTTCCCTTATCGCTCCCACCACTACATCTCTTCGATTATCGCTTCTCTCTCATCCCCCGCATCTCTATATCTCCCTGATTATCGCCTCCTCCTGCCTCCTCCTCCTCCTCCTTCCATTCCCGACTTACTTCCTGTAGCAGACGCAGCAGGAGGGCATGAGGACCTCCTCGGGTTGGATCTTGTTGCTGCCGACGGTGAGCATCCTCCGGTACACATACTTCTGCCTGCACACGGTCCTGATCTCCGGTGGCAGTGGGGACTCGAACTCACAAGCCGTGCCCTCGCTGCAAGGGAACGCACGAGGGTTAGTTCCGTCAGGGCAAGAGGGGAATGCGACACTTAGGGCCACGGTTTCGGAGGGGAATGCGACACTTAGGGCCACGGTTTCGGCGTTGTTTGGCGTTCGTATGCTAGTAATGAGAGATCAATAGGTAGTATGTTCATCAGATATAGAAATTTCGTATGAAACACAAAGATGAATAAGGAGTTTGTTTGTAAGATATATAGATGAGTTCGTGTGAAACCATATTCGTATAAAAACGTATGCTATTCATCTAATTAAGTACATTTACTCATCGCTCTTGCTGCAAGTAGAGAGAGAGAGAGAGAGAGAGAGAGAGAGAGAGAGAGAGAGAGAGAGAGAGAGAGAGAGAGAGAGAGAGAGAGAGAGAGAGAGAGAGAGAGAGAGAAAGAGAGAGAGAGAGAGAGAGAGAGAGAGAGACAGAAACAGATACAGAGACAGACAGAGAGAGAAAGGAAACACGTACTTTATGCACTTCTCGACTCTGAGCGCCTGTTCCACATTCTCCTGGTTGAGCACGAAGACCCACTCGTTGCTGGAGGACTTGGCTCGCTTGGGGAAGATCAGCGTCTCCTCCGACTGGCACACGGGCGTCTCAGAGGCCCCCACACGCGTCGACAGTGGGCGTGTGCGGAGTTCCACCAGGTTCTGCAGCGAGAGTGAGGGGGAAAGAGGGGCGGGTGAATGGGTTGTCGAGTGGGACCTCAGGGAGTAGATACTGAATTTTGTGATGGTATTTTTTTCTTATGATGTCCTTTACAGCTTGATATCCGCATAATAATAATGATAATAATAATAATAATAATAATAATAATAATAATAATAATAATAATAATGATGATGATGATGGCGTGCTTAATTATGATGATGATAATAATAGTAATAATAATAATGATAAAGATAACAATAATAATGATAACAATAACAATAATAATGATAATAATAACAATAATAATGATAACAATAACAGTAATAATGATATCAATAACAATAATTATGATAATAATAACAATAATAATGATAATAATAACAACAATATGAATAATATAATATAATAAAACAATAATAATGTACATACGACATACTCTGAATATCATAAATTTCTCATAATTTTTTTTTTTAGCACAAAGTATTCTAGGAAATAATAACAACATAATAATAACATAATATAATAACATAATCATTAAAATCACCCAAAAGTACTTACGTCATTCAAAAGGTCTTTAAACAGGGGATCTTTCACGACCGAGTTGACACTGGGATCAGCCAACAGGAACTGGATATGCTCTCTGTAAAGGGGAATTCAAGGATTAGTATAGAGGATTGGATATTACAGGAAGGCGCGGAGAAGAGCTGAACAAGGGATCGAACCCCAATGAAGCTGGTTTGAACCTAAAGGATTATTATAGAGGATTGGATAATACAGGAAGGCATGACAAGAACTGAACAAGGGATCGAACCCCGATGAAGCTGTTTTGAACCTAAAGGATTATTATAGAGGATTGGATAATACAGGAAGGCATAGACAAGAACTGAACAAGGGATCGAACCCCGATGAAGCTGGTTTGAACCTAAAGGATTATTATAGAGGCTGGAATAATACAATACGGCATGGACGAGAACTGAACAAGGAATCGAACCCCAATGAAGCTGTTTTGAACCTAAAGTAAAAGGGGTTCGAGTCACTGGCAGGGAAGGTATTTATTCATACGTGGTAATACATATTCTCTTTCTTTCTCATGAAGAACAGATTAGGGGAATAACCAATGGGTAAATGGAGGGGAAGAAAAAAGGGAAGGACACGAAGGAGTAAAGAGTAAATAGAGAAAATTATGGAGAAATGTGTAATGCGCATCGGGGTAAGTGTATGCATAATGAATAAACAGAAGGTTTTCTAGTACTCAGTTCTATAATTTCATCCTTACGCAAACATTCTCTCTCTCTCTCTCTCTCTCTCTCTCTCTCTCTCTCTCCTCTCTCTCTCTCTCTCTCTCTCTCTCTCTCTCTCTCTCTCTCTCTCTCTCGCTTTCTCCCCATTCCTCCCTCCCCCTCTGCTCTCCCTCCTCCCTCCTCCTCTCCTCCTCTCCCCATTTCTCCTCCTCTCCTCATCTCCCTCCTCCTCTTCTCCTCTCCCCATCTCCTTCTCTCCCTCTCCCTCTCGTCCCCTTCTCCTTCTATCTCTCTCCCTCCCTCCCCCTCTCCCTCCCCCTCTCCTACTGTCCCTCCCCCTCACCCTCCCTCTCTCCTCCTCTCACTCCCCCTCTCCTTCTATCTCTCTCCCCCTCTCCTTCTATCTCCCCCCTCACCCTCTCTCCCTCTCCCTCCCCTCTCCTTCTATCTCTCTCCCTCCCTCCCCTCCCCCTCTCCTTCTCTCTCTCTCCCTCCTTACTTCAGATTATCATTGTAGTCGGCGTCCTCGAGACAGGGGGAGTCGATATCCTGCCCCAGCCTCATCGCGCACCGCGGAGGAGGATCGGAGGACCTCAGTTCCCCCGCGAGCATTGGCTGGAACCGGCTGGTGGCTTCGCCGGCTGCGAGTACAGGCGGGAGAGCTGCGGCTTAGTTGTGATGTGTGCTTGCAGCCGCTGTCGTGTGGGATGGTATGTGGGTGGGGTTGTTTGGGGGTGGGGTGTGGGGTGGGGTGGGGGACGGGGGGAGGGTGTGTGTGTGTGGTGTGTGTTTGGGGGGGGTATGTGTGGTATGTTGGTGTGTGTTTGGAGAGGTGGGAGGTGGGGGTGTATGTGTGATGTGATTGTGTGGTGTGTGTGTGTGTGTGTGTGTGTGTGTGTGTGTGTGTGTGTGTGTGTGTGTGTGTGTGTGTGTGTGTGTGTTGTGTGTGTGCGTGTGCGTGTGCGTGTGCGTGTGCGTGTGTGTTGTGTGTGTGTGTGTGTGTGTGTGTGTGTGTGTGTGCGCGCGTGTGTGTGTTAAAGTTAATATGGCGGGGTTAAAAGTGAGTTTAAAGTCTTGTAAATATATTTTCGGAGTCAAATGATAATTAGTTACTGAAGTTATCTTTAGGAAATAAAAAATCATCAAAATACAAACAAGACTAAATCACCTGTAATCTACAACCAACCAACCAACCACCAAAATAAACAACAAAAACTACCCAAATCCAGAATGACCCGCAACAAACTCGCCTTCAACCATTAAAATACCTTCCAAAGATTTATGCAAAAACTTTCAAGGTGAACTCACAGAAGTGCCGTTGGTTGGGTCGTCTGGGAAGAATATCAGGTCCTGACCGGAAGTGGCCCTCGACGCCAGCGCCACCACCAGGAGCTGTGGAAGACACGAGGAAGGGGCGTGAGAATTCTGTAGGGGGAGGGAGGAAGAGGAGGAAGGGAGGGAGGGAGGGAGAAGGGAGAGGGAGAGAGGGAGGGAAGGGAGGGAGAGAGAGGGAAGGAGAGAGAGGAGGAAGGAGAAGAGAGGAGAGAGAGAAGGGAAGGAGAAGGGAGAGGAAGGAGGAGAGAGAGGGAGGAGGGAAGGGACAGAGGGAAGGAGAGGGGAGAGAGGAGAGGAGAGGGAGAGAGGGAGGAGGGAAGGGAGAGAGGGGAGGAGGAGGGAGGAGGAGGGAGGGAGGGAAGGGAGAGGGAAGAAGGAGGAGGACGAAGGGAGAGGAGGGAGGGGATAGGGAGAGGAGGAGGGAGGGAGGGGAAAGGAGGGAAGGAGGAAGGAGGGAGAAGAGAGAGAAAGAAAAAGAAAGAAAGAAACTAAGAAAAGAAAAAAAGAGCAATACGAATACACACAAAGAAAAAGACAAACAAACGAACAATCAAAAGAGGGAAAAAAAACTAAAAAAAAAAAAAAGGGGGTAAACAAAGAGAAACAACAGATAAATAAAATGGTAGAGACAAACAGACACAAACACACGAGAGGCACCAGACGCCATCCTGCAGCGTAAAATGCAAAGTAGAATACCGGTTAATACCAGTGCGACGGCTCTGACCTCCACCTGAGGCACCAGAATATTTAGAGTGAATTCGGAAACGCTTTAAACGGATAATTAGAATGGTGATGCTCTTATCCGAACGCGCATAATAAAATCACCTTGGGGGGTGGGGGTGGGGGGAGGTGTAGATGTGCGTGCGTAAAAATTACAATTATCTGCATTTACATATTTTTTTTCCGTCTGTTCAGCTATCGGTATGCGCGCGCACACACACACACGCATACACACGAGCGCGCACACACGCATACACACACACACACACGTGCGCGCGCGCACACACACACCACACTCACACACACACACCACACACACACACACACACAACACACACACACGCACGCACACACACACACACACACACACACACACACACACACACACACACACACACACACACAACACACACACGCACACATACACGCACACAAACACACGCATACACAGACATATATATATATATATATATATATATATATATATATATATATATATATATAACCATTAACACTTTTCTGTAATATTTTGAATAAAAAAAACAGCAAGAAACGTAACCGGAAATAAAGAAATAAAGATAACGTGATAAACGTTAAAAAAAGGAAATAGGAAAATTGAAAGAAATTCCCAAGGTAGAACGGGGATTCCCCGCCGATTCGGGATGTCGCGATTATGCAACGGGGAGAGCGCCGTTGCGTGTGGGGCGAGGGATTGGCGTGCGTGTGTGTGTGCGTGTGGGTGTGTGTGCGTGTGCGTGGGGGATGTGGGGGCGTGCTGTGATGTGTGGATGTGTGTGTGTGTGTGTGTTGTGTGTGTGTGTGTGTGCGTGTGGGGGTGCGGCGTGTGGAGGGCGTATGTGGCGTGTGTGGGTGCGTGTGGGGAGGGTGTTGGGCGTGTGTGGTGTGTGTGTGGGGAGGGATGTGGGGCGTGTGTGTTTGCTGTGTGTGTGGGGGGATGTGGCATGCGTGCGTGGTGTTGTGTGTGTGATGTGGGCGTTGTGTGTGGGGGGAGGGATGTGGGCGTGTGGTGTGGTGTGTGGGGGAGGGATGTGGCGTGTGTGTTTGCGTGTGTGTGTGGGGGGACGGTGGCGTGTGCGTGTGCTGTGTGTGTGGGGGGAGGCGATGTGGGCGTGTATGTTTGAGTGTGTTGTGGGGAGGGATGTGGGCAGTGTGTGCGTGTGTGTTGGGGGAGGTATGTGGCGGTGTGTTGGCGTGTGCTGTGTGTGGTGGGGGATGTGTGTGTGTGTTGGGGCTGAGGATGTGGCGTGTGTGTTTGCGTGTGTTGTGGGGAGGGTTGGCGTTGCCGTGTGGGGGAGGACGTGGGCGTGTGTTGCGTGTGTGTGGGAGGATGTGGCGTTGGGCGTGGTGTGCGTGTGGGGAGGGACGTGGGCGGGTTGCGTCGTGTGCGGGGGGAGGGATGTGCGTGTGGGCGTGCGGCTGGGGGAGGCACTGAGCGTGTTGCGTGTTGTGGGGAGACGTGGGCGTGTTGTGTGGCGGGAGGGATGTTGGCGTGTGTGCGTGGTGTGTGCTGTGTGGGGGGGAGGGATGTGGGGCGTGCGTGCGGTGTGTGGGGGGAGGATGCTGGTAGTGTGTGCGTGTGTGTTCTGTGGGGGGGGGAGGATGTGGGCGTGGGCGTGTGTGTGTGGGGGGGGAGGGGATGTGGGCGTGGTGTGCGTGTGTTTGTGTTGTGTGGGGGGGAGGGACTAAGAGAAAACAGAGAAGTTAAAGAGGAGAAGGAAAGACCAAGAAAAACCCAGAGAAGAAGATAAAGAGGAGAAAAGAAACACAGCCAGACCGCAAGAGCTACGAGTTGAGGGAAGGGGCTTGAGGTGGGTGGGGTGGGGTGGGGGGAAAGAGGCGGGGGGCGGATGGTCTACTCCTGGTCAGGAGCGGGATCTCCTGACCGCTCCCGGAAGGGCTTCCGACGACCTTCCCCGACCCGAAGGAGACACCGCAGGGGACGGCACAGGGGCCACGGCGGAGGGTAAGGAGTGGGGTTATCCTCGCCCTGAGTCGAGAATACGTTGCTCCTTTTGGTAGTTATCTACGGTGCTAATTGCACCCACCTTACCCCCACCTCACCAAGCTCTGTAACTCGTCTCGGTACTTGTCTCCCCATGTTGCTGCAATTTCTTGTCTTTCTCTCTCTAGTGTTGTCTCTCTGCGATACCCGGTACTCATGCTCTCTCTCTCGTCTCTAGCATCTCTCTCTCATCGTTCGAGCTCGCTCCTTTAAGAAGCCCGAGAAGGAGACGCTCTCTCTCTCTCTCTTTCTCTTCTCTCTCTCTCTCATCATCTCTTTCTCTCCCTCCTTGCAGAAGATCGCACCTCTTCTTAGTCGAGCTCCTCCGATGAACCCAGGGACCTGGAAAGTCCCGCCTCCGAAGAGTATCGAGAAGGACGATCCGGCAAGCTCCCCCCTTGCAGCTCCCCCGGTTAGAGCCGATCGACGAGACAGAGAAGACGGAGAGAGAGAGAGAGAGAGTTAGACGCGTGGCGACTCTACTTTACATTCGAATACCGGGCAAGTCCTAGACGGAAACTGTGGTACTCTGAACAGTCACAAACTCAAGACGTAAAATTACAAACATTCCTCTGTCCAGTGACGTTTTAAAGAATATTCTCGAAACGACAAATTATTCTCTATTTTATTATTATAATATAATATATACTATCTCTATATTCTCGTTGCTCTCTCTCCTATATATATTCATCTATCTCTTATCTACTATTATACCCTATATCATATATCTACTCCATACTCACTCACCACTACTAACTCGCTATCTATTACCCTTCACACCTATATATATTAATATACCTCTACAATATAGACCCTCTATAGACTACATTATAAGGATTCCCACATCACTCCTTCGGCATTTTGTAGCTTTCAAATCTCGTGCAAGGTAATTCGCAACTGTAAATTATCCCTCCCGTCCCCCCTGCCCCGCGGCCCTTTCCTCAAAACAAATCATTCTCCAGTAACAATGGCTGCTACCCTACCTCAGCTATCCACGAACTAGAGAGATCGACCATGCTCAGGCGGTACCGGAGACAGCGCGAGAAGGTTCTCTATAGTGCAGTATCACATACTGGAAAAGACATAGCTCTGTACTCCCATGCGCTACCAGTAGTAATGCGCATGGGTCTGCATCAGATATGTTCTGTGCATTGGCTTAGGTAGTCTCAGTTTCTATCTGAATTTTATGATTAGCTCTATCTAAGATTTGATGGGCTGAGGTGCGTCTACAGAGGGAGGGAGGAAGGGTAGTGAGGAGGTGGGTATGGATAGGAATAGGAGGAGAGGCCAGGAGGGAAGGTATATATTCGCTTCAAATGACCATCAATGAGGGGGAGGAGAAGACTGGATAATGATGGGCGGTTAAGTAGGGGGCTTACGGCGTACGGATCTGAAAGAGGGTGCTTGAATTGCCTAGTTATGTATTGGACTTTCGATGGTCCTCGTATTAAACAGAGGGAGGGCCTGAGCGACGGGAGGACTTCCTAAGAGAGAGAATTTTAATTAGCGAAGTTTTCTGCGTATGGACGCGGACGGCGTTTGACCGCGCTTTCTAGCAGTCGTATTAATTGACGGAGGATCGCATGGTATCTTAGTCAGTTAAGGCAGATAGGACGTAGAGAATTAAAAAGATTCAGCGTTATTGACGAAGAGAGTAGCATCAGATCACATCACACCTCATGTAGCACATTCTATTAATGATATCAGTATTGTTGCATTATTGTAACCCTCTGAAGTTTAAATGATGTTGGAATATAGGTCTAAGAGGATTTGCTTTACTTTGTTCCCGTATAATTCAATCTGACATATTTTATTCACACACAAAACACATACGCACATAGACACATATCGCGTCATATACAAACACCATCACACACACACAACATTACACCATCTCACAATCTATGATAAACACACTATAACGATTGCATGTGCACACACAACATTATGTCACAACTTATAACAAACAACAACGAAATCACCACGACTCCACGAGAGCACACAAGGAGAGAGAGAGACGAAGGCAGGGAGGGGAGAGAACAGATCACGAATAGGTTGATAGATAGAGAGGGGGATTAATAAGAGAGAGAGAAGGAGAGAGAGATTAAAAAGATAGAGAGAGGGTTAGAAAAGAGAGAAGAATCAAGAAACACAGAGACATAGATAGATGAGAGAGAGAGAGAGAGAGAGAGAGAAGAGAGAGAGAGAGAGAGAGAGAGAGAGAGAGAGAGAGAGAGAGAGAGAGAGAGAGAGAGAGAGAGAGGGGGGGGGGAGGGCAGGGAGGGAGAGGCAGATAGATAGTTGGATAGATATA